GTGGGTTTTTACAAACGGTCTGTGCTTTATCACACATTTTGCGTGATTTCTGTAGAGAAAACTACTGGAAACTCGGCTACACGAAACCCGTAAACACTTGGAGGATGTCAAGTCAACATGGAATGAGAAGCTAACAACGCTGGAATCGCAGATTGCTCACTTAAACTCAAAAATTGCAGAGGATACCTCTGAACACATGGCGGCTACCTCTGAATGGGAAAAGACGAAAACGCATCTTGAGTCTCAGGCAAGTTGCAAACTGCAGATAAATACTTGCGTATTTTTTTAAAGCCTACTGATGGCCGCTAAGGTTTCATCTATTTACCTAAATGCCACCATGGCATATCAGCCAGTCGCGTGACCACACCGCCTCGCTTTCAAACTACCGAATCATCACTTCATCTCTAACGCTATTGGGTCATGGCAAAGCGCCTGCAGCCTATTGGTTGTCTTCTGCCAAGGGTAACCAATCAGATAAATCTTATATGCCACGAGACACGCACAGACTACCCGCGTCAATGGCTAAAGAGCAGCCATAATACACAGTCGTGGTGCATTCTTCCTCCATATGCAAAAGGCGTTCCTTTTGGTAAGAGTGCTGCAGGATTTGAAGGCTTAATACGACTCAGCGCAAACTGACTTCTCTTTCTTCCACTTCTTAGCTGTCAGAGGTGCGCAGCCAGTATGCGGACGCGAGGGAGACAATCAACAGGCTTGAAGCGGCCATTTCGGAACGTGATCGTGAAACGGAGGAGTCTGTCCATGATCGAGACCTCGAGAAGAATACGCTGACTGCCAAAATCACCGCCCTCGAGGCGAAAGCGGAGGAGGGAACCCAAGCCTATGCACAAGCCCTGAAAGTTAATGTAAGTAGACTTTATGCATTCAGTGTCTTGTTTCCTTCTACGGTAAACGGACTAGTCCAAACAAACACCACACCACACCACCAGCACCATAACTTTACTCTCCGTCATCGTCACCAGTAAGCATGGCAACAGCGTCATTGGTATTCTCGCAACCTACGTCACAGCCGCCGCCACTACAACCACCGTCAGCATTAACAGTGTA